GTGCAACAAATTGTATGCTTGTTTCGAATTCTTAAGCTCAGTGTAACTGTCACTATTTGCACCAGACTCCGTGCACAAATGTGAATACCCTTTAATTTAGTTTTGTTTCATTTGTCGAACACTATCGAACATCATACTGGCTACGTTTGCGATAATTTACATATTAGAAGTTGCTTGATTTCAGACTAAAGTGGGAAGAAATCGGATTATATACTTAATCTTTCTTTATATATTATCTTTAATTTACGTTGCGATTTATTGTATTTTAGTTGACATCACTTTACCAATAATATAACAAGTTGGGCATTTTGCGATTGTTGTGTTCGTTTGTCCTTCAAGTTTGTGCGTGGTAAGGTGCTAGTATAGACCCAAACTCCCAGCATTAAGTCTTGAAATCAAAGTTTACGAAAATTCACGGGGAGTTGAAGTCAACGATTTCCTCGTTTATAAAACAAACATATATATTTCGTCTGCGAAGGGCGAAAAATGTAAAATCATCATTTTGAAAATTTAATTTATGGGAACATGTGCTTGTAATCGGAGAGCATCGGACAATTGCCGGAAAACATTAGGATTTTCCCAAATCAGCAAAACAACGCGATTGAACCAGGTAAGACCCTGCAAGCGATACAGTTACGTCCAAAAAACTTTTAGAAGATAAATTTCACAATAAGTCAAAATCCTGGAGAAAGCAAATAAATTATCTGCAAGGACTCTTGAACAGTTTCACAGAAACAACAGCATCACAAGCAGAATGCAGCAGTCTCGAAGAATGGGCTATTCATTTAATATGCGTACCCCCCCAATCGAGGACACTCGGAATCCTCAGGGATGTGGACTGTGTTCAGGCTGGAAATCCTCAGGTGTGGGTAGTTTTCCACTTGGTAATCCTCATGTGTGGGGGTAGTTTTTGGCTTGGAAATCCTCCGGTGTGGGTAGTTTTCAGCTTGCAGGTCCTCAGGTGTGGGTAGTTTTCAGTTTGGAAATCCTCAGGTGTGGGTAGTTTTCAGTTTGGAAATCCTCAGGTGTGGGTAGTTTTCAGTCTGGAAATCCTCAGGTGTGGGTAGTTTCCAGGCTGGAAATCCTCAGGTGTGGGTAGTTTTCAGCTTGGAAATCCTCAGGTGTGGGTAGTTTCCAGTCTGGAAATCCTCAGGTGTGAGTAGTTTTCAGTTTGGAAATCCTCAGGTGTGGGTAGTTTTCAGCTTGGAAATCCTCAGGTGAGGGCAGTTTCCAGTCTGGAAATCCTCAGGTGTGGGTAGTTTTCAGTCTGGAAATCCTCATGGCTTAGGTGTAAGCAGTTTTCAGTTTTATGTTCACTTTGTAAACAAATATTATAAATATTGCTAAAGCAATGCTTCTTCCTGCAAATATATCCTGCAAATATATCAAGGCAACCTTGTACCCAGGGTCTTTTAGCTAGGGGCGATAATTGGAGGGGGTGTATACTCATATATTCATGTTCACGTACCATGTAAACAATCGCTTTCAAAAGCAATCTGTCAGGCAGAATGCAAATAAATGAATACACACACCTCCCCAATTATTGGTCTAGCTATGGCCCTAGCTACGGCCCTGATGACCACAGGTGGCCCAATCAGGGGTAGAGTGGTTTACTAATACTATACAGGGCGCATCAAAAAAAAGGTAATCCATTTTTTCACATTCGGAAAGGTCAGGCTTTTTATCTGTCGAATGACATGTTTTTAATACCAAATGGTGAAAAAATGAGCAAATAGGAGGCTTATAAAAAGTGTTAGTCAAAATCGCATATTTTCACCTCTGAGAGTTGGGACTAAAACCATTAAAAATTAACTTCCTTTATGCTGGTTTTCCACTAGCGATATTTTTCGCGCGAAGCGACCTTATTCCTTTGTATTTGAGCAATTTGTTCCAGATGGTTGCAGTTGAGAGCTCTGGAACAAAAATAAAATGTCGATTCGCGTGGAAAACCGGCTTTAGGACTTAATTGAAGAATTTTGCTTTTGAATAAACTACCTGCATATGCATATTAAGTAGGAATAAATCACATCAGAAGAACATTCCAAGCAATGTCAATTTTGTATCGATAGAGATGGTGGTCAAGTTAAAGGCATGATGCATAATTTTTTTCTTTTGTTATGCACTGCTTTAATTAGGCTCAAAGGTGAAAATATGCGATTGTGACTAACATTTTTTATCAGCCTCGTATGTGCTCATTTTTTCACCATTTGGTATTAGAAGCATGTCTGTCATCGGTTAGTTAAAAGTCTGATCTTTCCGAATGTGAAAAAGTTTAGATCATGGACTGATTGGTTCACATACAATAGCGTGTTGAAGTTGGATTACCTTTTTTTTTATACACCCTGTAGATATAGTAATACTAAGATAACCAGGTTGCGTGGCAGCGTCTTCATCGATAGATAGCAAAAAATTGTTTGTATCACTGCCTAAAATAGACAAAACGAACTTCTCAAAGTTCTTTTTGTCTATTTTAGGCAGTGATACAAAAAACATTTTTGCTATCCATAGTAATACCATATGTACAATATATCAAACATTATATGTAATACCATATGTACAATATATCAAACATTATATAGTTCTGTCTGTGATGTATATATTTCAAATAGAATTTATCCACATGTACATTGGGTGTTCTCATTCTATTCCTGCTGTGTCTCGTCGAAACTTTTCGCTTGATGCCTGCCCTGCTGCACACGCTCTATTCATAGTATGAATATGAATTGATTAGAACTGATTAGAGTATATAAATTAGAACTGATTAGAGTATATAGTAGTATCTTCAAAAAGTAATTGTCTATTTTAATATAGTATTAAACAGTAATTTACATGTTATCTAGAAATTAATCTTTTACTGATGATACAAGAAAATTCATCTCATTCTCCGAAAGATCAACATTCCGGTCAAGATTCTGGTTGCATTCGGCACTAGCTCTGTCACTTATATTATAACTGTTTTATCTTGTTTAAAATGGACACCCTTGTAATGGTCTATTGATTTGACCAGATTGGATTGTGCTACTTTAAGTTTTGTAAATGTCTCCAATAATTTTTCCAGTAATTGATTTTTCCAGTAGTTCTTTGCCGTTTTTATTGCCGCTTACTAATTCTGGATATATACGTACATATTCAGCATCAACTAAAAACTTTGCTTTTTCTAATTAACCGAGAACTGTGAATCAAGAAGCTAAATCAACTTGAAGTGTAACACGATACGGAGCAACCTATCTAATGTCAACGTGACCTGTGAACTTTTTATTAAATCTTTTAAACTCAACGTGATTTGTGAGTTGTTGGGCGAGACAAAGAGGGAGGCAATTCCCCAACAAAGTGGCACCTCCGACGGGATTCTAACAAGAACATGATTGTGCGAATTCAACTGGAGATTAAACTGTGACAAATAGACCTTAATCAACGCGAGAAATGGATGCAAAGCTGAACGAGTTAACTGCGAAATTAAAGACACTCAACCTGACAGTAACCAAGGTTGACGACGCCGTGACAAAGCGCGAAAAGGAATCCTTGAAACGAATCGAAGCATCACTAACGAAGAAAATTAACGGCATTTATGACCTAAAGGAGGAAATCGAAGAAATGAAATTTCTAAACCAGGAGAGCGAAGATGATGTGGAAACTTGGGCTACCGAAACGGAGAATAAATTGAACGATGCTAAAGGGAAAATTGAACAGCTGAAGCAAGTGTTATCTGACATTGAGAACAACGAGACAATTATTGAACGAGAAAGGGACGAAGCGATAAGGCGCGAAGTCATCAGAGCGGAGACGGAAAAACAAGTAGCGATCGAGAAAGCGAGAATCGAACTAGAACGTATACATAAGGAAGAAGAACGTAAACGAGACTTAGAACACCAGGACTTCATTTTGCAACAACAAATGAAATTCGGAAAGGCGCGGGAATCAGACGTGGTGAGCCCCAAGGAGCTTCAGATAAAAAACGTGAAACTACCCAAATTGTCGATCACTAAATTCAGTGGAAAATTATCGGAATGGTTATCATTCTGGAACACCTTTGAAGTAGAGATAGATGCAACCGAGCTGCCGACCGTGTCGAAGTTTGCCTATCTGAGAGAACTACTGGAACCTAACGTGAGATCGGAAGTCGAGGGTTTACTTTCAGTTCCGAAGGATACGAAAGAGCGAAGAACATTCTCAAGAATGAATACGGGAAGACAAGCGAGATTGTAAACGCCTACATCCAAGAGATTATAAACTTACCGGTGATAAACGGGTCGAGTCCAGCAAAAGTTAATGACTTTTATAAGACCTTATCCCATAACGTACAGTCCTTGCAAACATTGGGAAAAATCGAGAGGGTGAACGGGAACACTCGTGTCGTATTAGAGAAACTGAAAGGCATTAAAGCGGATTTAGTTCGCGGAGAAGAAGGCTGGCAAGATTGGGACCTGCCACGCTTGGTCATAGCCTTGAAAAAGTGAAGAGATATCAACCCGGTCGTGAACACGAACAGTAATGACGACAAGTCCCCACCAAAACAAACTATGCGGCGATCAAACTTCTACCATGCTAAAGACGGTGAGCGAAAACGGCGTTCCTGCGTGTATTGTGGCGACAAAACCCACTCGTCGAAAGACTGCACAAAGTTAGCCTCCGTGACCGAACGAAAGAAATTCCTGGCCGAATGTAAACTTTGCTTTAACTGCACTGGTGCGAAACATCGTGCATCAGAATGTAGAAGTACCATGACCTGCCAGGACTGTCAGGAAAAGCATCACACATCTATCTGTGGGAAAACCACCGCCACCGAGGGAGAGAAATTAATGACCGCCGCAGAAAACCATGTCCCAATGGTATATCCAGTGGTAGTTGTGAATGTTGAAGGAACGAAATGTCGTGCGCTGCTCGATACCAGGGCAGGAAGTTCTTACGCTTCTGCTACGCTGTTGAACTGCTTGAAAACCCGTAACCATCGACGAGAGATGCGTCGGATAGAAATGATGCTGGGAGTCGTGACCCGTAATATGGAGTTGTCCACCATCAACGTGAAATCGCTAGACAGTCAATTTGACATGGACGTGAGTGTAACCAAAGTAGATAAACCCGAACTGCTACATGTCGACAATCCCAACTACGACCAGCTGATTACCAACTACCCCCACCTTCATGGCGTCACCATGAACGATAACGATCAAAAGCCCAAACTACCAATCCACCTGATTATCGGAGCAAGCGACTATATCTCCATCAAAACTGACCAACCAGCCTGCGTAGGAAAGACGGGGGAGCCCATAGCAGAACTGACGAAATTCGGGTGGACAATAATCGCGAAGGGTAACAAGATTGACTATGCCGCCTTGCTGATCACACAAACAAACCAAAGTGACTATGAACAACTTTGCCGTTTGGATGTTCTCGGGTTGGAAGATCGACCAGAACACGACCAAAGGAGCGTCTATGCAGAATTCCGAGAACAACTCGTGCGCAGTGAAGAAGGCTGGTATGAGACTGGACTACCATGGAAAGGCAACCACCCTACCCTTCCAAACAACAAGACTGGGAGTTTGCAACGCCTTTCCAACCTGACACAAAAACTAAATCGAACTGAACTCCTTGAAGCTTATGATGCGATAATCAGTGACCAAAAGACAGAAGGAATTGTTCAGAACGCATGTGAACCTCCTATCGGAAATGAGTTCTACATACCCCACAAACCAGTGATACGGGAATCAGCGGAGTCAACCAAGTTGAGAGTTGTCTACGATGCATCAGCGAGAGCCTACGCAGACGCGCCAAGCCTGAACGACTGTCTCAACGCTGGTCCACCTCTTCAAAACCGTCTGTGGGACGTGCTAGTCCGAATGCGCTTTCATCCTGTAGCCTTCCTGCAAGTCAGAATCAAGGAAGCAGACAGAGACGCATTACGGTTCCACTGGAAACCACGCGAGCAGAGTGAACTGCAAACATTAAGATTTACGCGAGCGTTGTTTGGCCTTACCTGCTCTCCATTCCTGCTCGGCGGAGTCGTCGAACAACACCTTAACGCCTGGGAGGAGCGAATGCCAGAAGAGGTGAGCGAGTTACGGAAGAGTATGTACGTAGACGACTTCATCAGCGGGAGAACAACAGTCGAAGAAGCCAAGCAACTGAAAAGAAACGCGACAGAGATATTCAATGATGCGACATTTACGTTACATAAGTGGCATTCAAATGAGCCGGAGCTGGAAGATTCGCCTGACAAATCAGCGGACGAAGTGACTTATGCCAAGCAACAACTAGGAACAACCAAAGGAGGAGAATGTAGTCTACTGGGGCTTCCCTGGCACAAGTCTTCTGATACCATCAGCGTAGTCATTCCTTGCGAGCCAACGAAGCCAACGAAGCGAGGAACTTTACAAAAACTTGCAAGAATATACGATCCGTTAGGACTGGTATCACCTCATACCCTGCAAGGGAAGCTTATCTACCGAGAAGTATGCAAGAAGAAGGTCGGATGGGACGTGGAGATCGATAGCGAAGCCAAGAAAAATCTGGCACGCTGGGAACGAAGTCTGCCGAACCAAGTCACAACCGAGAGATCACTGGTAAAATTCCACGAAAATATTGAGTCAATAGAGCTGCATGCGTTCGGAGACGCAAGTGGTGATGGTGTATCGAGCGCAGTGTACGCAGTTGTCCATCAGCCATCCGGCGTTAGCCAAGGACTCGTGGCAGCAAAGTCGAGACTAGCGAAACAAGGCTTAACGATTCCGCGCCTGGAGCTGGTGTCTGCTCACATGGCTGCTAACCTTATCAGCAACGTAAGAAACGCCTTGGATGGATTTCCGATCACGGTTGTCCAGTGCACGTGTTGGCTTGACAGCACAGTTGCGCTACACTGGATCAACGGCGGGGGAGAATACAAACAATTTGTTGCCAACCAAATCCAGAAAATTAAGTCGAACAGCGGTATCCAATGGCGTCATGTACCAACCGACCAAAACCCAGCTGACCTGGGAAGTAGAGGGGGTTCTGTAGTGAACAAACAATTGTGGTGGAACGGTCCAGCATGGCTCAGCACTCCAGAGAGTTGGCCCGCAGACATAACCACTACCCCGTCCAAGGAAAGCAACGCCGAAGCGAAGATGGTTAAACAGGTACTGGCAGTATCGTTGGAGAGCATCAACGAGCTAGACGAGATGCTTATGAAATACAACTTGTGGAAAATGTTGAGAATCTGTGCATGGGTAGCAAGATTTGCTTTCAACTGCCGTCAACCCAGACAAAAGCTAAAAGGACCATTAACGACAAACGAGATCGAAAAGCAGAAATTATTCTGGATCAAACGTGCCCAAACCAGCGCAACATACGAAGAGAAACGATCGGCATTGAATCTGAAGCCAAACGAGCTCGGAATTTTGGTATGCCGAGGAAGAATCCAAGGAAATTATCCCATATTCCTACCAGACACACATCCCTTCACAGCAAAGTTGGTGGATTAAGCTCATATACGCACTCTGCATGGAGGAGTAGGAATGATGATGGCTTACATTCGCAAGAAGTACTGGATCCCGAAGCTTCGCAGACTCGCTCGAAAAGCGATCAAGAAATGCTACGGTTGCCGCAGATTCCACGCAAAAGCCCTAGAGCAACCTGTACCTGGTCTGCTCCCACGTGATCGAACGGAAGGCAGTCGCCCATTCCAAACCATAGGAGTAGACTTTGTGGGACCATTAAGGTACAAGAAAGGAAACAAGACCGAAGGGAAAGCGTACATCGTGCTGTACGCTTGCAATTTGACAAGGGCGATCCATGTCGAGTTATTGGCCAGCCTATCGACCGAAGAGTTCATAAGAAGTCTGAAAGGATTCATCGCCAGGAAAGGGAGACCAGAAAAAATCTATTCAGACAACGGCAAAACCTTTGTCGCGGCAGAAAAGTGGTTGAACGTCGTGCAAAGGGATGAAAAGCTCCAAAACTTTTTGGCTATCAAAGAAATACGTTGGCAGTTCAACCTTAGTCGAGCGCCGTGGTGGGGTGGCCAGTTTAAACGCTTGATCGGGCTTGTCAAACGAGCATTACAGAAAACAATTGGCGGTGGATGTTTGCGATGGAACGAAATGCAGGAAGTACTTCTAGATGTAGAAGTCACCCTAAACAGTCGACCACTGAGCTACGTCGAGGAAGACCATCAAATGCCAACTCTGACACCAAACGCTATGATGTTCGTCGGCTCTAATACCTTGCCAGAATTAGAGGCCCATCATCTCGAAAAACCTGATCTACGGAAAAGAGCAAGATTCTTATCGAGATGCAAAGATGCTGTTTGGCGACGATGGACATCAGAATACCTACGGGCGTTACGGGAAAGACATAACCAGGCTCAAGGGACTAAAACGTTGAACCTGAAGATCGGGGACGTGGTGATCATCAAATCGGACGAGAAGAATCGAGCGAAGTGGAAATTAGGAATTGTTGACGAGCTTTTCAAGGGACGCGACGATGTGGTGAGGGCAGTAAAACTTCGAGCTGGGAACAATTTCCTAGAAAGACCACCTACACATCTGTACCCCTTGGAACTATCGTGCGACCGAAAAGCGAAGGTAACTAAACAATCACTGAACGCAGATGCTGCAACATTCAGACCCAAGAGAGACGCTGCAGTGGCAGCGAGACAACGCATCCAAGATGTCATAAACTCTCGGAGTTAGGCATGGTGGACATCCGTTAGTGAACCATAAAATCATATGGACAGTAGTCTCCTTTAATACATATATCTCGACTAGCGAGCTATATGGGGGGAGGGTGTCGGAGACTTGCAATTATTAGGATAGAACTACACTAGGAATATATAACCAAACGAATGTAGCATATATATATATAACAGAAAATATTTTAGTATAATCATAGAGTTAGTTAAAACCACCGAATACGTGCATGGTATAAACATAAATGCAGCGTAATAGTCTAGAGCTTTCAAACCGCGGCGTAAGCATAAACTTGCGTCACTTTAACAACCACAACATTAGGGCGCAGCGATAGCAGAACATGAATTTCACGATGAATTAACATAATTTGCGCGCGGATATTCGTCATGTAACCGCAATGACTTCTCACTAATTTACTATAAATATAGCCAGTGTATGTTAGAGCTGAATGAACACTGAACACTGAACAATGAACACTGAACAGAACTGAGCTGCAAGAACTGTGAACCGAGAACTGTGAATTAAGAAGCTAAATCAACTTGAAGTGTAACACGATACGGAGCAACCTATCTAATGTCAACGTGACCTGTGAACTTTTTATTAAATCTTTTAAACTCAACATGATTTGTGAGTTGTTGGGCGAGACAAAGAGGGAGGCAATTCCCCAACAAAGCGATATAAAATTTATTATTTCACAATGCTTTGATGCTGTATCTCGCACCATTTTCAAGTGATACAAATACATTAGTGAAGCATCAATATATTCAATTGTTCACAGCTCATTAACTAATCATGTTCGGATTGTTATAGAAATTAAAATTTATTAAAAATTTCTACATTGTTTTTATGTACATTAATTGCAAAGTAATTTAAAAGAAAATGTTAAAAGCCACACATTAAAATATAAAGATAAAAGAGTTAAAAGAGCCACGCTACATTCAATTGCCCTAAATTATGTTGAAAGAAAAGGACCATCACCACCTAAATCAATGCAACAAGCCTTGGGTCGATTGCAAAACCGGACAAAGGTACAGGGGTGGTTGTCATGGATAAGAGTCAATATATTGATCTGCTAAATCAAGCATCGATCAACCAGACCGACAAGTTTCATCCTGTCAGTGGAGAACGTCTAAAATCAAAAGGTTGCCCTGTTAAACATCATCCGCTACTTCAAAGAGAACGAGAACTGACAAAAGCAATTCGTAAAATTCTTCATAAAGATATCGCAGATTCAATGTGTCCAAAATGTTCTCGGCTTGCCCACCTTTATGGACTTCCGAAAATTCATAAACGTGAATTAGCCATGCGTCCTATTCTCTCGACAACAAACACTTATAACTATTCGCTTGCAAAATGGTTAGATGAGAAGCTCAAACCTATTTCCACTAACCAATATGTAGTTGATGATGCTCTTGCCTTTGCCAACGATCTGAGGAATGTAAATTTTGAAGGAGAATTATTAATGTCATACGATGTTTCGTCACTGTTTACGAATGTGCCAGTAGATGAAACCATTCAAATTTTAGTGGATAAAGCATTCCATCATGATTGGTTTAACAGGACCTATGGTTTGGAGTTAAAGAAATCAGAACTGGCTAATTTACTGAATTTAGCAGTAAAAAACCAGCTATTTCAACTGAATGGTAAGCTCTACCAGCAAGTAGACGGCGTGGCAATGGGTTCACCGCCCGCTTGGCCAATACCTTAATGTGCTCAGTTGAGGAGAAGAGAATCCAAGAGAATCTCATTCCAGCTTTCTACCATCGTTATGTTGATAACACCATCACCAAGCAGCAAAATCTTTCTACTGCAGAATCTTTTTTGGATATACTAAATAGCTGTCATCCGTCACTGCAGTTTACGATGGAATGTGAGATCGATAGGAAAATTCCATTTATCGGTATGGAAGCAATGAAAGTGGGTGATCATATTGAAACAAGGGTGTTTGTGAAACCAACCAATTCTGGTCTACTGCACTATCAAAGTCACGTTGATCGAAAGTATAAGAAGTCACTGATAATTACAATGCTACATCGAGCTTTTCAGCTGTCCTCTTCATGGAAACTGTTTACGAATGAATGTGAACGCCTTAAGAAAGTGTTTTATCAACTTCAGTATCCATCCAGAGTGGTTGATGAAACTATTAAAACGTTTGTGGATGCTCAATAGAGAGGTTAAGATACCCCGGTTCTGGTGTACGGGTACGGCCATTTTGTTTTCCATTTTTCGCTGATGTCAGCATATTTACCTGTAATATCTACCCGTTTTCCCGTTGTAAACGACGGTCTACACGTAAACAACGAACGGGTAACTACAAAGACAAAGTGGTCAAAGTTTTTTTATTAAAGGACAAATGAAGAAGAGGGTGAGTGTCTTTAACACGCTTAAAATACATTTTACGTATTAATATGGTGTTCATATTGTTGTATTATCATACAGTCTATATACAAGTTACAGTACAGGCTTCTCAAAAATGGTTTGCAAACATAATTTATGAACGCCATCTTGATATTTTTTATTTTTAAAACAAACACACGAAATACTATAGTTATATTGTAATACATATTTACTTTTATAGTCAGTTTTTACCCGGTGTTGTTCTTACCCGGAATTTAAGAAAATTCTTAAGTTGCAAACCGTACCCGTCTTACCGGTAACGGGTACGTGTAATTCACCCGTACCCGTACACCGGAACCGGGGTATCTTAACCTCTCTAATATCAAAATCCACAAGAGAATGCTGATATGTCTATTGGGAAGCAAACATGTGAAATGGATGTAATTCGTTTTACATTGCCTTTTGAAGATCAAAAAACAACTGATATGACACAGAGACAGCTGAAGAACCTTAGCTTAGTCATTGAGTTATTGTTGCGTCCAGTATTTTGTAGTAGGAAAGTTATGAGCATGGTGAGAGTTCCGGAGACCAAACCGTTACTTGTTAATCAACAGTGCGTTGTGTACAAATTTAAATGTGATCTGTGTGACACAGATTATGTGGGTTATTCGTGCTGACACTTGCATCAGCGCATTGACGAACACAAGAATACGGTGATTGGCAGGCATATGAAGGAGGTACATCATAAAAGTTTTCAGTTCTGAAAGTGTCAGAGTACATATGAATGCTTACTGTATGAAATGCTGTTTATTAGAGAAATGAGCCTGTCACTTAATACACAATCATACTCAATTCGCTCTAAGCTTTTTAATTAGTTTCTAACTAGTTTTTATTCACATACTTTTTAACTCTTTTATCTTAATATTCTAATGTGTGGCTTTTGGCATTTTCTTTAAATTCTTTATTAATGCACATAGAAAGAATGTAGTAATTTTTAATAATTTTTAATTTCTAGAACAATCCGAACATGATTAGTTAATGAGCTGTGAACGATTGAATATATTGATGCTTCACTAAGGTATTTTTATCACTTGAAAATGGTGCGAGATACAGCATCGAAACGTTGTGAAATAATAAATTTTATATCGCTTTTATTTGTGTCAAAACTGAATTAGAAAAAGCAAAGTTTTTAGTTGATGCTGAATATGTACGTATATATCCAGAATTAGTAAGCGGCAATAAAAACGGCAAAGAATTACTGGAAAAGTCAATTACTGGAAAAATCATTGGAGACATTTACAAAACTTAAAGTAGCACAATCCAATCTGGTCAAATCAATTGACCATTACAAGGGTGTCCATTTTAAACAAGGTAAAACAGTTATAATATAAGTGACAGAGCTTGTGCCACTAATGGTGCGAGATACAGCATTGAAACGTTGTGAAATAATAAATTTTATATCGCTTTTATTTGTGTCAAAACTTTATTCAAAGAGCTTACTACTGTTTAAATGTTTTTCTAATTCATCTAGGTTTTTCAATAACTTTACTTCCTTTTGAGGAGTGGCATTCTTTTCTATGCTTCGACTTCCAGCAATAATTTTCTTTACACGATTTTTTAAAATATTGTTTTTTTTCACCACCCAGTGAAGGTGAATGACGCCATGAATAGCCTGAACGCCCCAATCGTGTAGAGAGCCTTCCTCGATAATTTTGCGTAATTTACTGTTGTTGAATATTTTTCTTTCTTTCTCCAACATTTCTGTTGTTTCCTCAATGTCCTGGTCGTTGTAAAAGTTTAGATAGTTACGCTGTGTCGCTGTTGTTTTTGATGTTTCCCTGCCGTCGCTATTTTTATCAGGGCGATTGCATGGCCTGCTGTTTATAGTATGCCACAACAAATTAGCACCTTGTTGATCTGTATGCGTATCAACTGTATCTACTATTGGCACAGTTGTTCCCACAGGACGTCCGCGTTTTAGATCTAAGTACAATTTCCCATCAGCAGATCTTGTTGCACAGACACCGACCTCATATTCTTGTTTATCTCTTTGCTTTCTCTTTATCGTTGTATCAGGGACAATGAACTCAAATACATTGTCTGATAGTGAAGTGATTTCACAGCTTATTCTCAAACGCAACTTTTGCAAGGGAGATCTTAAATCAATGTCCTTGACAAATGCGATGACTTCTTTAGTATAGACGTTTCTTAAAAACAAGGTCTGACACATTATTGTGATACAGTATCGTTGCTTGCAGACGCAGTATTTTACTAGCCTGTGCACACTGTGCAGTGACAGCCGGAAATAATATATTTGTACCAGGGGTCAACAAGGCTCCAGCGCATGCTTGGAGCCAAATATGGTTTGAAAAGTAGCCAAAACTTGCCAAATCACTTTTTTTCAAAAGAGGTCAAAAAAAAGCTGGATGGCGTACCCATGGCACTTTCTTTAGTAAGACATCTGAATGGAAGGAACTACTATTACTATGAGTTGGAGCAAGTCTATATGTTGACCAAATATTTATATATTTCTGATCGAGATAGAAAGTGGATGATGGAGAAAGTGGAAAATTTTTAAAAATTTGAGTCTCTGGATCTTTGGAAATGGCTAAGTGAAACAAGGCCAAAAAGTAGCCAAGGAACAAAAAATAAACAATATGCCGAAT